CCACTTCTTGTCTTCTTCAGTGCCTAAACATCTGCTTCCATCTTCACCAGTTGTTTAGCCTGATGCAATCATGCTTCTAATTCAAACATTTTAAGGACCTTATTTCTAAGCCTTATTCATCTAAGTCCTTGTCTGAGCTTTTTGTATGGAGGACAACAAATGAGACTGTTCAAAAATGGGTGAAGAAAAGGAAACTTTGAAAAGTTTGTGAGTCTCTCAAACGTCTACGTGTAAAATGTTTCTGAAATATCTTTATATGATATTCCAGCACACTTTTGACTAATAGTCAACAATTCAGTGAATTGAGTTCTTAAATATTAATAAACATGAACCTGATTCACATTCCACTCTTCACTCTTTCCTTCTTCATTCACCACATCCTCTCCTTTCCCTGGATGGCTGTGGCACACAGTCATCAAGGGGATTAATGTCCTTCAAACTTTCATATCCGACGTCAATGACTCATTGTTTTCTCTGCCTCGTTTTGATGTGTGTGAGAGAGTGGCCCTTTGAAGTCTGCAGAGCTTTTTATCTCTCTCTATTTACATTGGTTAAAGTGTTAAGTGTTCTCATTCAGCTTGGAGGATGTTAAAACCCTGCACTGAGAGATTTCACATGAAGGACAATTGCAAACTCCTTGTTCCTTTTCGCTGTAAACAAAAGCTGTGCATGGCTCTGTGTTGGGTAAGAGCTGTGTTCACTTTGGAGCCATTTGGAATATGGTGCAGGATTTATCTGGCTTCTGACCTTATACAGAAGCAAAGGGAACGTGAAGACACTAATGATCTTATATTGACTGATTTCCTCAGTTGACATGAGGGGAATATTTACTTATGTTTGCGTCTTCTAAACAATCAGACATACACATTTACTGTCAAGCCAAGTGTATGATTCTGCTTTCTTTAAATAGATTTGTCGAATGATAAAAGTCTATTCTACTCAAGATAAGGTCAAATACAATCTCTCACCTTGTGTAGATTTGTGTATGTGTCTGAATCAAACCATGCAAGAGGTATAATAATAGAATGTCAATTAATAACAATCCTCAAATAAAAATAGAAGGTACAATTAGTAGGGGAACCAAATGCTACAATATTATTTCATGGAAGTCAAGGAATGATGTCAATATGGAATTTGACCTGATGATAGGCTAAGAGCTCACTGTTTCACAGTAATTCAATTGGGCAGCAGGCAAAAAAATAGAGGCAACCGAAATCTCAAATCCTCAAAATCTCCCACCTTTGGAGAGATCGATTTGGATTTAGTCTCTCAAGAGCCACCATATTCTCATTAAATAAATAGATTTTTCGATAAAACATTTCTGCAGATTAGAACTTAAATATTTAATGTCAAATCAGCTTTTTAATATTTTTATAGTTTGTTAAATTAAACAATTAAAATTGTTGCATCAGTGGCCCCATTGAATAAGCCATATATAGTTTACCAATAGATCATATTTTTATTGTCAAGTTAAAGAGTAATATTTTTGTCACAGATCTGACTTGACACCTCTCAAACCCAATGTTTACTCGTGGTTCTCAGAACAGGATGAACTTGAGCTTAAAGTCTATTTATGTGTCTTCCCTAATGACCCATTTAGCATGCGTGCAAGTGTGTAAATTAGTTACACTGTAAGGTCAGTTCAAATAAAAAAAGGAGCTACAACCTTTCAACATCATCATCAGCTTTATCATTGGGTGGTGATCACCCTGACCTGAGTCGCTCACAGCCCCTGCAGAGTCCTGAACCCTGGCTGACCTTATCGCCGTATCAAAGGTCAGGCAGAGACAGGACCCACCACGATGTCCACTAAAGGCTGCCATGACAGACAACAGGCAGACAGCAAGGTATTCAATAAGTGTGTGCATGTGCATGTGTGTCCCTTTCTCTCTCTCTCTCTCTCTCTCTCTCTTTAAAGTTCAGGAAATTCAACAGAGTTATCGCCATCTACAAAGCGGTGTGAAGCTACAGCCGCCAGCTGCCTCCACTTCTGAGGGAGAGGGCATGTCAAAACAGCACAGCTCTGCCCCGGCTAAAGTCTCTGCTGGGACTGGAGCACTCTCACAGGTCATCTGGAGTGACAGACTGGCTGCAAGACTGGTCCTTCACGTACCTCGGGTTTCAGGTCAGGATGGTTTGTCATTCCTTAAAGATCTGCATTCAAAGCATGCATCTGAATCAAACAAAACATGATGCTGGTGTTTTGTGAAGTGACTGAAGTATGCCTAATGAGCAGCCATTCTGGTGAGCTTTGAAGTGTCACTCTCCTCCAATGAAATAATCTTGTGCAACTGTGGGTCAGGCAGCAGTTTGGCCTGTTTCTGTCTTTCTGTAGCACTTTGTGTGACTAGGGAACTGTGACATTTCTCATAAAGGCTCCAAGAGAGAACATTTTAGCAAAGAGCTTGGCGTGTTGACAGACTTGAAGGTTTAAAACATGAAACATGGTGGACCAAAGTGAAGGTTAGCTCTGAATTGATTCGCATGTGAAATTCAGCTGATTTTTAAATGTTGAATAAATGTGTCATGTCCTGCATTCTGATGCATTTGACTCTGTTTTGATGCTTTTATTTGGCTACCTTGACAGACATGTTTCCCATTTATGTTAATTGATTGCCGCTTCAGATTCGGGGGAATCTGAAACACGAGGAATCTCGGGATAAGTTGGGCCAGAAAGGATTCACCGGATGGATCCATCATTTCACGGGGGTTATAAGGACACGCTTGTCGGCTGCATTTGAGGGAGCTTTCAAAATGGGACGCTTCTTTGATCTGATTGGTATTCCAACGCGCTCTAAGGACGCTTTCCTTACATCAAATCATCGATCCAGTGTGAATCCAAAAAAAAAAAACAGTTGCTACTGAAATATGATAAATATTGTGAATTTTCTGCCAAATCTGTTGATCTGAGATGCTGTCAGTATAATGCTTAAATATACTCCCATTACATGTCTTCATTCCTCAGAGGCAGTAGTTCATGTTCTGCTTCATGGCTACACTAAGCCAGCATTCAAGTGTTAAGTTGTGTCTTTTTTTCTCTTCTGTTAGGGCTTTTTAGAACAACCTTGTCCTCTCATGTGGAGCCAGAAAAGCAACACAAAATGCCGATGACTTCTAATTGAGTTTGCTCTAATGCTACGTCAAGCCAGACCCTGGTCTGGCTTCTTTTGTCCAGTCTGCAGGCAATTTGGCTGGAGCAATCCACTTGGCAAGCAAGATAACAGGTAAATGGCCATGGTCTAATAGGCCATCTGTGGAAAACACACTGCAGTCAATTAGAGTCCACTGCCTCCTGTTGTGACGGCCATTAGACAGCCCCACCACGACAAGTGACTCTTTAGTGGCTTTTACTCTTCAGTGAACCGCTCCTCTTCATTCATAGTGTCCTCAAGCTGCTCAGGCCCTCAACACTGACTTGTGTCCTTTTTTTATGTCAACCATTCTGTTCTGCTTTCCAGGTTCTATTAAAAAGCAATTTTCCTGACCCTGATGGTCAAGAAGAACATCCTTCACTTCCTCTCTAGCTCTCTCTTCCTCACATATTCAAATTCCCCAACTACATCACACAAAAGGAACAACTTCCACTTATAAGGATGTCCTTTAGAATCATTACAGACACATAATAAGCTTACTTAAAAGTCCATGAAGTTTGTTTGACAAATGCATTTACAATTTTTCTCTTCGAGTGCTTTAAAACACCACAACACTCACACACACACACACACACACACACACACACACACAAATGCACACACACTCAGCATGCAGTTGACTCGCCGATATTTAGCACTGCTGCACATATACGACTGAATGCACAATTGTGCAGCAGCTGAGAAAGACAGCACATCATCAAGCAGCAAACATCAAAGATGCCGCTGTGACCTGGAGCGCACAGCAGCAGTTTTATTACAGTAACATACTGATGTAGCACTCCTTGTTGTGGGGCTCAGTCCCATTTCCTTTTGTATCTATTTGACAGTCTAGAGGTAAGTGCAAAGTAACAACTTTTTAATAGGATCAAAGTTGAATCAAATGTTTCTGTTTGTCTGGAGTGCTTATAGATAAATTAAACCAGCTCGTATATTTACATGAGAAAACTGAAGACAATAAAACTAGACTATCTTGCTCAACAGGAGGGACAACAGCTGGAAGACAGACAGCATCTTTCATTATTCATTTGCTTTAATGACCTAGCAAGTAAAGTTTTTTATTTTTTTGAAAGGTCATCCCCACCTTCAGGCTTACTCACAATAACGAAACTAAAGCTAAGTAATTAGCTGTAATCCCTTTGGGTGTTGAAGTATGTTAGGCTTATGTTGGAAAACAAAGCTTCACACGTTTCTGACAGCAGTGTAATAGAGGGCTGGTCTTCCTCTTCACACTTAGTTATTGTGATTATTACGACTGAACACTATACTCTCACTGTTTCATGTCGGACCTCTCCTGCTGTCTGCAGCATTTACTGTTCATAAAAAAACGTCATTATGTAGGCCTATAAGATTAATGAAAATAACAAGAGAAATACATTACATGAGACACTCTGGAGACAAAGAGATATTGAACTTTCAAAGAAAATCCTGATTTTATGGAATAAATGTCCCCATTTCAGACCCTTTTACTAACAGTAAAATTAGGGCTGAATTACTTTTGATTAGCCCCATATATTGTTAGTAGAGGAAGGAGTATCGAGGTCCTTCATTATAGTAGAAGTGGCAACACCACGTTGAAAAAAAGAGTAGGACTTGAATTCAAAATGCGATGGTCCAGGAAAATAACGCACATGAAAACATTCTGGACAATTAATAATAATATTATAAAGATAATCAAATGGTTTTGATAACATTTAAAATGAATTTGAAATACATTTTGATATGTAACCTTCTTACCTTACCTTCTTAAAGTAATGGATTAAACAAACGATCACCAACGAGTGAAATCAGAGTGTAAGCCAGTCCGTGGTTAACAGTTCCTTGTATCAAAAAAGAACACAGAACGCAGCATCGCTTTCAAGAGTTTTAATAATTTACTAAAAAAGAGTGTAAAAGTAACAGACCCCTCCCGCTGAAGTGGATCTGTTCGATATTCAAAGTGATGACAGATGTAACAAATTTTTGCAAACTTGCCCTCGTCTGTACATTTGTGTACACTTGGCAATTTAACCTCTCGGTTGTAAATATGAGTTTTGTACTGTATACTGTATCAAAAAAAAAAAAAAAAGCTCACAGCAAAATAAAATACTTTGATATGAATCACTTGAAAGTAAACCAACCAGCATGAAATGTACAGCTTTAAGAAATTCCAAAAGACACGGCGGAAAAGTGTATATACAAACATGCTAGGAGTCTTAACAAAGAGCAGACAGAGTGAAGTTGAGGAGACAGGACCTTCTATTGGTTTGACATCATTTAGGAGAGCCAATGAAATAAAGTCTCTTTTTAAAATATTTCATAACCTTGCAATGTTCCAATGCCATCGTCTTATATTGCCTATTTCAAGATCTCTTTGATAGCAGAAGAAAAAAACACGTTATAAATATAGAGTATACTGTATCTCCTGCATCGACTTGTTTAATTTAAACGCATTAAATAAAAAGGCAAAGTTCTCATTATCTGTAGAAAAACAATCAACTCAAATGCAATGTCTTTGATAAATGTTCATACTGTGTCCACTTCAAAAGAGATGGTTGACTGTACCACCTTTTCTCCTTAAGTGCCTGCATGGAAGAGGTAATATATATTTATATATATATATATGTATATATATATATATATATACACATAGATATCAAATTTTATGACATGATATACTTTGTATAAATATGGCATCTTTACAATTGCATTAAAATGACATTTTTCTATTTCAGATCCCAAGACAATTCAAAGTCAATCGGGAAAAAAGGCTTGTTTTAGTTTCTCTTTTTCTCGCTTTAAATATTAAAAAATAAGTCTCAATTCTTTGCAAATGTTTGTCTGACATAATAAACAACACATCTGTCTTTACTGGTCAAATATTTTCCATTGTGTTCGTATCTACAACACTTCGGAAGGTGAAGAAAAAAAGTGCCATTGTCAAATTTTCCCCCCCTTTGGAGTGAACAAGGACGTTTGCCCCTTTCAGAATAAAGGTAAAAGGTTTTAACAACCCCACTGCAAGTCCCCATGAAGCTCATCAGTTTCGTTCTATACAAAAACAATATGTAAAAGTATCATTGACAAAGCCAGGTGTTTTTTTTTTTTGTCGCCATGCCGTTTTTGCTGGTTGTACATTATGGAGTTATGTGGCCCTGCATAGACGTCCCTTTCCACAGGAGAGGGTTTCATACAGAGCTTCTCTTGAAGTGTCATCCACACACACCTCAAAGTGGAACATAATGCTGCTGTGATCAGGAGAAAGTTGTGATATGTCAGTCAAAGGAGCATTGTTGGATGAAGAAGTCCGTCTTCATCCTTAGAAAGCACCACAAAACAAGCTTTGAAGGTACAAACTGCTGCGGTTAACCAGTAACACTTAAAAAGGAATTGTTCGAGCATTTCACCCCACTCATTCATAACATTCCTGCCGTGGGAGAGTCTGACTTGCTCTGTCCTTAATTTGGCCGTTGAAATCCACAGAGGAGCTCTGGTGCTCTCTGGTGCCCAGACGGAGGAAGCGTATAGGCACAGAGAAAGTGAACCATCAGCTGTCCATTGAAGTGTCCCACAGCTAAAGCATGTTCAGGATGGCATTGTACATTTGGATCAGTACAGCCAAGTGGACCGGCAGGCAGGACTGGCGGTCCTGGGTGGCAGGGGTACAAGTCAGCCAAGAGAGGGCGTTGTACTGCTCCAGTACAAACCTGTGTTTGGAAAACAGGCAATTTTTGAAAACAGAATAGGTAAGAAACTCTGGCTTTCAAAAAAAAATACTTAAGTTATTTTCCATTTAAATGCACATCCAGAGAAGTAATAACTATAAAGGACTGGTTAAAAAAGGATCACAATGTTGGAGCATATGGTGGCACTAGTAAATCTTTTGGCAATCTAATCCCTCTCCCTTTCTCATCAGTCAGTTTTTAAAGACAAATGTACATTTTATCAAGACAATGATAACAATGATAACAATAATAAACATATTATTTAGTCTAGCAATATCACACATGAGGGAGTACTGCTGTAATAATAATCAGCTGATATTCAGCACAACAGTACACCCTTGAGTGTTGCATTGCTTTTTTATTAAACAGTTTTATGAGCAAAATACAGTTCTAAAAAAGTAATAAGCAAAACCTGCGATACAGTGGTATCAGCTCATGTCCTAACAATACTTCACCAGTGCTTATGGCATTCTTCTTGTCCAATCAAATGACTAACTGTTGTAGTTCTATACAGGTTAACCAAAAGGGACAGCATTGTGCTGTGTGTTTACCTGAGCACATCAGAGGTGGTCTTTGAGTCTAAGGGGTGAGGGGTCCATTTGATCTTTTCTGACATCAGCTCATCCGACTGGGCGATAGAGATATGGTGGTGGAGGGAGGCCTGAAGAAAAAAAACACACCACAATGTTTTATCACATTAAACAAATTATTGATCCAGTCACTTCTTCAGTATCACCTACCCGTCTGTTTCTCTCTAGTGAAACAAGTCTGACTGGCACTTTATTTGTTTCTTTCACCCCTCCCCCCACACACACACACACACAGTATTTTGAATACCTTGAGAAAGAGTGGACACTGGCTCTCAGCCTGCGGGCAGGAGGCCCAGAACCAGTGAGGGAGTCCGTTTGCTTGTGCAGTGGAGACGTAGTAACCCAGAGCCAGCGGCTGCTGCTTCAGCTCCTCTGGTGGACTGTCTCTGGACAGCAAGCGCTCCCCCTGGCTCTGTGCACACAGGAGCAGGCCAGCAATTAATCACCAACACACAATGTGATCCAAACAAACCCTGGATAATGATTTCAACCAGTTATTTACCCATCTACATCAAACATGTATGAGCCCTTGCAGTGGCTTTACGGGAATGTGAAAAAAAGGATACGTAAACATGTCATTTTCACATTAAAACATGAAAGCATAACAAAAAGTAAGACCAAACTAGTAAAAAAAACCTGTAAAATTGCTGCACATCTTTTCTCCATGTAACATCCTGTCTTTTATCTGGAGCTTAAGATTGTAATAAAGTTTGAAATGAAAATGGAATGAGGTCTTAGTGAACAGAATTCTTTACAGATGTGCTGCATTTAGAAAATTGCCAAATGAGATCTGCTTTCTGTTCAGGCTGTGGTGTTTAGAGCTGTGTTTAAACATAGACTCACTGTATGTAAAGCCATAAATAGACACTGTGTTGAATGATAGCACACTTTAAGTTACACCTGCACCACAGTAGATACAATATAAAGAGAATAAAAATGTCAATAAGATGTTTTCCCTCCATACCTGTAATATATTTCTTCTTCAGCCCAATAAAAACAAGATACTTGGGGCACAAATATCTTGTGTTTATTTCGATTTGCAAAGGAACAACACACATATTTGCAAATCAATATGGAAATAATGTACATGTATGTTTTTAAATAATGGCTTGCTGTTGAACGAATGCTCCCACAGTTTGTCAGTGCTGAATGACAAGTTAAATTATGTAGGTTGTCAATGTGTCTTGTCTCTTGTGCCCTGAAGACAAATTCCTTTTTTTTTTTTTTTTTTTTTTTTTTACATTTATTATACTTGGCAAAATGTCTGATTTTTGTCTGATAACATGAAGGGCTTGGTGTCTGCAAAGACAACAACCTTGTGCTTTTAGAGTGAGAAAAAACAGATCCATACCTGAAAAGGTATTCATTTGAATTCCAGTACAATACTTCTGCAATAAAATCATGTCATATGTCTAAAGGTCATATATAAGAATATTGTATTTATGCTCATCTATTTATCATTATCATTATTTGTGTAGGTAGTACTGTTATTTTAAGGTTGTCCTGAAAGGTTTAGTAAGCAGACTATAGTAAAGTTAAATCTTTTTAAGTAACACAACTATTTCTTGTCACACTGTGTTTCTCTTCCTTCCTCTGCAGCCTCAGAGCAGTGGACAGCCATCTTTTGCTTATTCCCAAACAATGAGTTAGTACTGATGTGTAAAATGCAGCCGAATGTTTTGTCACAAGGAGGATATGTATGTCGCTGTCTTTCGGCTGCTCCCCTCACTCACCTTGGTGTGCTGGAAATGTGATCCCATTCCCATCCCAGACGGGGAGCCAGGCGAGGGCACGGGAGAGGTGTTAGGGGAGGGGTGGAGGTTCCCCGTGATCAGCATCATGTCATGGTCAATGTCGTTCTCCAGTTCATCAGGAAAGGGCAAATCAAACATGTCATCTGCAGGAGAGGGGAAAGAGACGAAAATTATGTCAGCTCACCCCAAACTTATTTAAACTTTTGGAATAAACAATGACAAATATCTGATTTGGAGTTATTTCCCATCAATACAATTCATATTCACACAAAGGGGGCAAATGCTATTTTTCTGTGGCCGTGATGCAGGGAGAAGTTTTTTTTTTTTCACGCAATGATGCCCCCTGGTGGTAGATAATAAATCTAAAGATCCACTTTTAACAAGGATTTTATCATGTAGACCTTGTCATCTTGTTGACTGTTAAAGTGTTTTCCTTACCATTATTGTCCTCAGTGGGATAGGAGCTGGGTGCCAGCTGTGTGGTGGCAGACGTTGGGAAGACTAGGATGTGTGTACAGGAAGCATCCTGAGGTGTGTTCAGCTGCGACGTCTGCAAGTTCAGAGCAGTGCTGCGGCCAAACACTGAGCCCATTGTCACTGCGTCTGGACGTACGCATAGAGAAACAGCAAAGGTGAGATGTCTTTCAACACTGGGTCTCACAAAGTACGATTTTTTTAAATAAGCTGTAAAATAAGTACGGTCTGAATCAAATAAAGTTGTCACTCATTTAGAGTTGATCTATTCACTTGCTGTCATTTTTTTTGTCAATTGAATTAAACAATACTATTACAGAGCACTGCAACATCCAATAATATAATCTCTTTATAAACCACCAACGTCATGACCATCATCTTGTTATTGAAGTCAACCAACAGTTTCCCAAAGTGAACAGACTACTAACCAGGCATGACCACAAAGGAGCCCTGTGGCTCCATGGCGACAAGGCAGGCACTGAGGATAGCTGGGGTGTCAGCAGCTGAGATCCCACAAATACGACAGGCCTCCCTCAGCTGGCGCCCTACTGAATGAAGGGAGTGCTCCCCAAGGAGCGAGCTCCAGTCTATTTGGAGAAAGAGCGAGAGAGAGAGAGAAAGAGAGAGAGATGGTTAAGGGAAAACAAGAGAAAAGAAGACATACTTAGACGGAAAGACATTGGGGAATCATTCTCTGATACATTTGATCCCTTCAGGTATAATAAAAGAGAGCAAAAACAAACAAATAAGAATATAAAAAAGGGTTGGAAGAGGAGTGTATAAGAGGACAGTCTGAAAGTAAGTGTATGCTCCTATGTTTACATGTGACTGTTTGTACTATAAGTGAGAGCAGGTCAATGTCAGAGCACAACATCACAGTTTATGCTAAAGGAAGACTCTACTTTCTATTTCTCTAAAGCAAGAGTGTCTGAGTTAATACGTATGGGAGAGCTAAGCCTGCAGCCATTTTATTTTATTGCGGGAGCGCAAGCATGTTTGAGTTAACGATTATAAATTGTTTCAATGTTTCATCCACTTTTAAATGAGACAAACAATATCATAATCATGCATAAAACAGGAACTCATTTTTGGCTTTCAACATTTTTAGTTCAATCCTCAAGAGAAGCATCAGGTGTTGCCCCTTACCTTTTAACTCTCCATGTCCCAGTCTGCCTAATCGACCAATCACAATCCTCCAGGGTAGCGATGTCTTCTGTATGATGCCAATACACCATTCCCACATCTTCTGTAGTCCCATCTTCCTGGCTGAAACCTTTGGCCTTCGTGATCTGAAGTTAAAAAAAGAAAAAACAAAACAAAAATGCATAAAGAGAGATGCTGCCAAACAAGCACACACACACACACACACACGCACACACACACACACACAAAAATGACAGTTTTTTTTTATGAAGTTAAGTACAGACAACTTTTCCACACCTGTTGGGTACATCAATATTGATAATGCAGGTCTCCAGAAGTTCCCCCTGCTGGTCTGTGCAGGACACCAGGATCCAGCGCTGGTCATGTGACAGACAGTATCCAACGAAGAGCACGTTGAATTTGGGAGGCGGTTCGGCCCACATTTCCCCTGGTTCCGGCTGCTTGGAACGGGTTGGACCAAGGATGAAAGGAGGAGAGTACATCTGCCGTGGACTTGGATGCTGGAGGCGAAAATTCAAGAAATTAAAACGAAAGTATGTAGACAAAAGTCAAATAAAGTCATACAGTATACAGTGTATCACATGAGCTCTTTCCTTACAAAAGTATACATTTTTGGATTCTTATGCCTACCTCTGGACCGTTAAGTACAGAACTGACAGTGGACACTGGGCCAAAGCCAGTCAGGGACTTGATGTGTGTTTGATGGGGAAGCAGACGTCTGCATTGGGAGTAACACGAGAAGGCCATGGAGCGCAGCTGTTGCAAATACAAATGGCTCTCTCCACTGGCTGGCTGGAGGAGGTACTGGCAAGGCACCACCTACGTTCAACACAAATGAAATTGATGATGATCACAGGAGTGGGAGTAAATTCGCTTTCATTTTGTCTCGAGCAAAACCACAGTGTCTTCCTACCTGTAGCACCAGTGCAGGTCTCATCATCTCAGGCAAAGTCTGCAGCATCTCTGTGTAACAGCGAAGAAGCCCTAGTAGCCAAATGCTACCTGCCTCCATATCGTCACACTCGTCCTCCTCTCCACCTTCATTTCTTGCTCCATTTGAGCTAAGAAAGGCATCCACTATGTAAATAACAATAGCTGGTGGGTTTGCATGGCTGTCCGCTGAGTCGGGCACGGTTGGGATGCCGATTCTAGACTGCTCTGAAGTACTGAAAGAGGCAAGAGAAGAAAAACATTAGTGTTAAAATGTGAGGAAAAAAATGTGTGTGAGGTTATTTTCAAATATTTCGGTCTTACAGTTCAGGGTTTTCTGCTGGTGTGCTGGCTGGTGGAGTGACAGTGGAAGGCCCTTTAGAATCGCTGGTTGCTGCTTGTGTTGTCTCTCCTGTCTGGCTTGAGGTTCCCCCGTTCGGGGTTGGAACATTTCCCGAGCTGGCAGCTCCTGGAGCAGGTTCACCATCAGGTCCACAAGATGGAGTTTGCCCCGAGGAGGCAGACTGGGCTGAGGATGTGTTGTTTGCGGGCGGCTGGAGTTTGGGAGGTACAAGAAGACTGCTGTCCAGAGGCAAGATTGAAAGCTTGGGACCTGCGTTTAAAAGAATTGGAGTGAAGAAGTCAGTGAAAATCTGCATTTAAAAAGACAACGGAGAGTGAAAATTCAACGAGACATCAGGCTGTTTTTCAAGTACAAATAACACAATAACATACACACATACAGGCTACATAAAGGTTCTAGTTAGCTATTTCCCTACCTAACATTAGCAAGGGAACAGCAGTATTAGCTAGGGAACAGTAGAGTAACAGGATATGATGGTAACGGTGTATATTCCAAGCTAACAATAACCTTAACTAGAAACTCTAGAATTCTTACATTAGCTGTTATCCGATGCTACTTTACTCAAAATAATTTCTTTGTGTCCATTTAGATTTTCACTAGCGAGTGTCTGAGTAGTTTCTAATTGGTCTTGTAGAGTTGAAATGACATTGTTCTGAGTCCCAAGTTTTTTACAATTAACAACCTAGTAGAGCAGTCAATCTGTTATAACATTATTTAAGTTTCACACCCTGAGGTGTGTGAACGCGGCGAATGGAAGTGCTTGGATCATATTTTATGAATAAGATTAGATTGCATCAGATTTGAAAAAAGATTAGTAGAATAAATGTTCTGACCGAGCTGCTGCTTGCAGGCATACGCGTAGAGTTTAAGTTTGCTGAGGTTGTCGTTGTGTTGCTGTCCAGCCCAGGGTCCTGTCAACCACTGGTCCACATCCAGCTCTTCCATTTTTTCCGGCTCTACCGCTTCCCCCACACGCACGAGGCCATCTCTGGACACCTTGGCAAGAGGTCGGTGCTTTCCAAGGCGGCACGTCTGGAAACAGAGTCATCATTCTGTCATTAGAGACACTCGCCATGTTAAAGTACAATCCTTTGTTAGCCCTCCATCTCGCTTCCTTTTCAGTGATCCAGTCTCCTACCTCATAAACTGTGCTTAGCTCCTGGAAGAAGGCCTGGGCTGCAGCCAGCAGAGAGGGACTGTTTGGACACAGCACCAAATATGCTACATCCCGCTGCCCCCCATAAGGCTCAAGTAGTAGCTTCTCCCAGAAAGGTAACGCTAAGGGGGACAATGCTAAGAAGTCTCTCTCACGGTCGTAGCCAAGTAACACTGTAGGGATGGGCAATGGCTCTGGTGACTCTTCGGAACCTAAGAAAAACCACAAATAGTCACAATTTTATCAGGCTTTTCTATGTGTTTGACACTTCAGAAAACTGTAATCTCAAAAATGTAATAAACAGAAAATTGACATAGGATCTGTTTTTAGTTGTTTTTTTAAATCAATTTTGGGAAGAACTCGACTCACCGTATGAGCCTCTACCGGCCATCTTATGGAACTGCTGCCAGGTGAGTGGACCCTGAACGTGCTGAATGTTCTCCCAGGTCCTTCCTGTTCTCTTCTTCTGGATGGCGTCCTGAAGAAAAGGCTGAAGAGACAGCAGCATACGAACCATATCCTGGGACGACAACATGCTCATCTCCACCACTGTGGGGATTGGCAGACACACAGGCACGCGCACACAACAGTACACACACACACACACACACACACACACACACACACACACACACGCACACGCACACGCACACGCACACGCACACGCACACGCACACGCACACACACACACGCACACGCACACACAGAAAAAGGATACATGAACAGATGCACACATGTTAACATGATTCTATACACAAGAGAAACAAATAAACACACATGAAACAGATTGATATGTAGTTTAGATATCACAAAGGGAAACAGGCATACATGAAACATTTATTTGCCAAGGCTTCCTGTAACAGGACTATGTTTAAAGGACTTAATCACACAGTGTTTTCCCAGGAACGTATTTGAATGGTTTTATTTTTCTTTGGCTGCTAAATTGATTACTGCTTACCATTCGTGTGAGGCCAGGGGTGAAGAGCAGTGCTTCTGACAACAGCTTGATCTACTTTTCCTCCTGTGGAATTATCCACATACTGCAGCCCCTGTTCCAAGGCATTGTAACACTCCACACAGGCATCGCTCCCATCTGCCCACTGCTTCTCAGACATCCAGCTTTGGAGCAGCGCCCCCTTGCGGCCGTGACAGGAACAGCTGAGTGGGACATGAAGTGACGCCAGGGAGGAAATAGGCTGGGAGCACTGTTCCTGCAGAAGTACCATGACTAACGGAGATGCAGGGGCTGCATCCTGGGGCTTCTTAGCTCGCGGGTCTCCCATAGCTGGGTCCCTCCGGCATAAAGCCAGCCTCCTCTCAGCTGCCCGGCCTACCTCTGAAGTCCTACCGAAAATATCCAGCTCATCCTCCAGGAAGAGGCCTGTCCCATGGGCCAGCAACCTGTTTACAATGGCGCTGAAGCCGCACATGCAGCGGTACTGATCCTCACAAGTGGAATCAGGGATGTATACCCCCACATCTGCACCTTTGACATTCATATTACAGGCGCAGATGCAGCAGCTGTCAAAGTTACGATCCTTGAAAACATTGAGGACGGAGTCAGAAAGCAGGAGGACGGCGTACAGGCTGTGGGCTTCGGGAAGGGAGGGTCCTGGCCGAGCTAAGGGATCCACAGAGCTGAGTGGCAGGCTGGTGGAGGTTGAGACCGGTGAGCTGAGCTCAGTACCGTCCTGCTTCACCGAGCCCTGCCCAGAGCTCGCAGCATTAATCCCCCGTGGTGTTCGAGGAGTTCGTGGAGTGGGCACTGAGAAACGTGGCGTGGCAGGAGAAGGAAGGATCCCAATGGTGGTGCTCACAGAGGCAGTGGCTGCGCTCATCTGACCGTACTCCTGGTCGTTGAGGGTGTTAACGCTGGGCACATTTCTGGTAAACACACATTGGCAGAATCAAAAATAAGAGTTAGACAGTCGAGTACGATTGAACTAACTTACAGGATATTTTATGAACCAACTGACATTCAGCATATTCACATGATGACCCAGTTTTTCTGACATCCTGCTCAACGTGGGAAACTCAAATTCTTGTGTAACGTAAAACTGATTTATTCCAGGTTTTAAGTTGGACAGTATCCAACAATTATTATAATTTTACTGCTTTTTGATTGATCAGCAACTGAATAAAAAGTGACAACAGAATATTTAGAGGGACTTTGGGCCACATCTCAAATAAAAATAACCTACTTCACAGTATTCTGTCTTCTGTTTGAGACTATAGCAAATTTTAGCGTTCAACCACTTCCTGGCTAACAGTGTTAGCTTGAATTTAAACCTCTCCTGCTGTATCATAAGCTCAAATAAATGCTTATAACAGCTTAAAGCCTGATTCCACCTAACGATTATGTTAGCTAAGTAGAATGCTAACAATAGCTAGCAATGGGTATCCACTGAAAAAAATAACTTTTCCCCCTTTTTTTTTTTACAGTTTATTTTGTGGAATTTTTCCCCTCCCCCGGGGAGAGAAAGAAAAATGGGGAATGACATGCGACAAAGGAACCACGAGTCTGATTTGAATCAAGTCTGCTCGCTTGGAGGACCATAGCCTCTGTACGTAGGTCGCGCACACTAACCACTAAGCTACCGGTGCCCCAAAAGTCTTTTGTTTAACTTAAAAACTTAGAATGAGCTCATGTCCCATCAGAGTTGTACGTTTCATTGTCTGCTTGTCCTAATAGAAGCAGTGAAATGAGAACGATTTATTTGAGCTTCCATGAGCATGACGCCAGAGGAAAATGGTGGCCGTGTAAATATGGCTAAAGTCAACCTCACATGTCCATCCTTCAGAAGCTACGTGGTCAAACACATTTTTTTATTTCATTTTAACAGAATGAAACATCTTCATCAACGAGAAAGGTTTATTTTCTTTTGTGTCATAGTTGACTACTCACGTGTATCCGTCTTTGATGAAAGCCTGATGCTGTGGATGCATGATCGTGGAGAAATGCTCCATTTTGGGCATGAGGGCCCATGATGGACGGTAGTAACATTGATCTGGAATCTTAAGCGGTGGTAGACTCTGGCTGGGTAGGCAGGATAGTGGAGCAAACATGGAGGAGCCTATATGTGGCTGCATAGAGAAGATACCAGGGAGAAGTTCAAGTTTAACATTCAGTTATATTGACACTGCACACATACATGCTTCACTGCTGAATATATCAGTGGCAGGCAGCTTTTTGGTTATAATAATGATGTTGCAAGTTGTGTTTGACACAACATCTTTTTAGTAAGCATGTCTGTCAAGAATTAGGTATGCGTCACAACATTTATTAAGTTTTTAAATTTGACGTTTTGTTAATTGTGGAACCTCTGGAATTCTTCAGCTGGCAACTTTTTTTCATAAAATGATATTTCCTTATTAAACAAGTGCTTACTACAATAGAATCTGTGTCAGGATACCAAATAACGGATAATATGTCAGGCGCTAACACTCATGCCATCAGTTGACTAAGATCCAATCCATTCAAATGTTAAACTGGATCCTGTTTGTGTGTTTAACATATTGAGCTGATAGAATAAAGCGTATTGTCTGGAGGAGGTTTCTGTTTGTGTTAATGAGGAGATGCACATAACAGTGGCAACTAAATGCATTTAACTATACAGTAATTAGTGTTTCCCAAATGCATAAAGTCTGCAGTAAGTACAAGAGTCTGACTTATATAGAAGATAACTAATTAGCAAGGATAACTAATTAGCACGCTATAGGTTATAGTAAAGCAATTCTAATGATGTGAGGGCTTGTAAGGAACTGACTGCCATTCATATTGACTTCCCCGTGTTGAGTTTTAAATGGACTAAAGCAATTTGTGAAAGTAATTAGCAAGCCCAAGTTGCTATTGTCTTACTAAAGTGTTGTTTTCTAGGTTCGCAATGACACACAAAGCTAAATATGCTGCTATTTGTGCTGTTAATTGAAGATTGGTTCAGCATATTGATTGAAAACTTTAATTAAAACCTCCCCTCACCTTGATATCTTCCAGCCGTGGACTGACCATGCCCTCGTCAAAATCCATCCTGTATTCCATTATCTGGGTGCAGGCTAAAGGCGGCATGTGGTCCAATGGTCCGCTGGGTGCGGGGGGCTCCTGGCTCGGGGTGTCACGATACGTCATGATTGGAGAGAAGGCTGGGTGCTGTTCTAAGGAAGGAGGGGTGGGAAACATCCGCTGGAGGTCTGCTACTGCTAAAGGGAGACAGAATAAGGAGAACAGAGAAAACAAATGTTGTTAACAATGATAGATGCGATTGTAGTGTGCTGTTGATTTTGTAAAGATTATGAAAGTAAATGCTCACTTGATGGATAAGGTACAGCAACTCTGCCTTCTTTCCCCAGGGGGCGATCTTCTGTTGATACTTGTGGCTTGGTTGAATGCTGGTTGGGATAAACAGTCTACAAATTATTACACATAAGACATAATGATCAGATTAATTTAACACAATATGCTCCGCTTCGGGAATATGACAGTATTGACATGGATAAAGAAAATATGTGATATGATAAAGAAGGTACAAACATGCAGATTCTTAAAAAGGCAAAAAAATAATATATGTGGAACACAAAAGTATGTAAATGATGACAACTCACCCCCAACTCATCCTCGTCTTCATCAAATATGTTATCCAGATCAGAGATGTTCACCACCAGATCTTTCTCTCTGGTCAGAGAAGGGTTTGCTTTGGCAGCTCCGTCATCCTGACTTGAGTCATCTGAAACAAAAACCAAAAACATTAGGACAATGGCTACAAATTACCCATGAATCATAGAAGTGAAAGATTTGGACTCGAGTCAAACTACACTAGGAAATGGATATGATGCACTGTAGATGGTGGCACCTGATTTTGGAGCAGAGTTAAAAATGGACATGGCGTCTTTCCCATCAGGCAGTGCTCCATTGCTGGTGATTTCTTCTCCCTGCTGGATAAATTACAGGAAAAATTGTATTTAGTTCAAGTACAGTCTCATATTTTCAAAGGTTTAAAGCTAGGAGCTCTCATTTAAGACAAAAAAGACTTAGTGTGTATAGTGCTGCTGTTGACAAGCAAAATGTACACAAAAAGAACTCAGTACACATAGAAGCTGCAATTTTCACAAATAACACAATGTCTTGTATTTTTTTAATTAAAGAGTATTCATTTGACCCCTGAGGGTTTTTTGGCCACTTCAAGGCAGCAGAGATGGGCTGTGAACATAAAACTTACAGTTAATAAAGCCAACAGATCTACCACCAGTTACACATCCAATAGATATAGAGCAATATTCAAACTATTTGGAGTCTTCCTCCATTGGCCACTTAAAAATGCGAGTAGTCCAATATGAACTCTCCTTTAATTCATTAGATTATTTTTCTATTTACTTTATTAATCCCAGAAGGCAAATTCAGGTTTAAGCTGACAATGAGAAACACACATAGGCCCAAAATACAACATGAACAAACAGAATTCTATGTATATGCATCAATGCATGAATGGAGAGATATGTCAAAGAGAGGGCGCTGAACACAGGGTGGCCTGTCTTGCTTCAGGGCACCATAGCAGTACTATGGCAGCCGAGTCCCTACGTAGGGAGCTAACTGCAGCCTGCACTGTTTCGAGGCTCTAACAACCTCTGTGACAATTAAATAAAAGTAATAAAGTTGTAAGGCTGGATCAATAAATCATAACAATTAGCTCTCTCCTGATACAAGTTACATGGTCCTTATTTCAGAAAAAAAGCTATTATTGCATTGTGTTTTTAAACAGAGCGTGATCTCTTACCTTGACCTTCTTGCTGGGCTCTCGCCCCTGACCCTTTAACCTCTTGGAGGTGGAGAAAGTGTACTCAATGTCTCCTTCCTTAAAGTCATATGGATCGTCCCCTGGCTCCCTCAGAGCCTCGATACCGGGCTGCTGGTAGAGGCCCAATGTGTGAATGTGGTCCTTCACCCTCTCCTCTGAGATTTTAAATCTCTTGTGAGTCTGTGTATACAGTCTGGTGGAGACAAAAGACAGAAAAACACAAGTGTTGTAGTTGGAGCTTGTTCTATCTGTATTCTTTTTTGCGTCCCCATACCGTATCTTTCATTTCATATCTGCAAAATAAAACCCAGAAACTCTGAGGAGAATTATAAGAAGGCATGAATCCTTTTATCCATATTCTTAGCTACGTCCCCCTCCCTTTCCTAACTTATACCCTTCTGTTGTTGTTTCTCTTTCCCACCTCTTTAGCGGCGCTCCCTCTGCGGCTGTATCCGTCTTCAGTTCCTCTGACTTATCAGCGGGAATTTCGGGGGGTCTGCAGTCAGTCTTATCAGTTCGGGGAGTTCTAAAGCCTCTCCACCAGCCACCCCCACTCTCCCGCTGCCTGAGAAGGGCCGTATATACCGCCGTCTCGCTGGTTATCAGCCCCATCCCTGAAGCCCCATCCTGGCAAACAGACATATCCACAGGCCCATCGAGCACCTCTTGGTCCTGCACTCTCGGGTGTGGGCTTAACGTGGGTGGAAGTGGAGACATTGGTGAATGAAGAAGGGACTCAGAGGCTTTTCTGCTGTTTGAAAGTGGTTTGGGAAATTTACAGCTTGGCAGAGCAGCCAGTGGCTCCAAGGGGGGCTCAAGAGCTACAAGACCTCCAAGCTGGGGCCCTCCTGTTGAGTCCTGCTCGAGAGGGGTCTCCTGCGTGATGGAGACGCGGTGGTGAAAGGGGATGGTGGCCGGCCTCTTGGACTGTTTGTCTGCCTTCTCTGTCTTGTCGCTGGTCTTGTGTTTGGGCAGGGAAGCGGGGTATGAAGACGGGCCTGAGGACTGAGGGGGGTTGGCACTGGTCTGAGGGTTGGCAGTGGATGTGGTGGACATATTCTGCTTCTGCTGCTTCAACCTGGAAGAAAATCAAATAAGTAAAAACAAAAAAAAAAACATCATGAGAATACTCTACAGGGACTATTTCAGGAGAGAATTTCACAATAATTAGTCTTTGAGTTGCAAAAACTTTTCATGTTTTTTTTGTATTTCCCATTTTTTCCTAGAATTTCTGCAGTTTTTCTTTCCTGAACAGAATACGTCTTCAGTTTTATTCCATTTTACACCTAACTGTGTTTTACAAGATGTATCGTATGTTGTAAATAAAAAGATCCCTAGGATAGTCATAATTGTAGCATGTCTTCAAGATATCTTAATGTAAAAATGCCCTTTGTAATAAACATTACAACACATCGCAGATGCTGTGAACACAAATGTAATGCTGAGCTGAGCAGCTTGCACGCAGCTCTGGTACCTGGAGCAGCTGCAGGACGATCTCACTCCCAGATCGTTGAAGTCCCATGTAGTCACCCCGTTTGGCACCTCTTTCTTCGGTGTGGCATCAGTTGGATGATTGTGTCTACAGGGACAAAGAAACAGATCTATGAGGTCAGCGGCTCTCCTGCGTCACTGCTCCTCAGTTATAATCACGGCAAACACATCCAGCAGCGGTTGAACTTACACATAATGTGGCTGGTTGAGATAGCACTCCTTCCAGGCTTGGTGCACTACCTGACAGGTTAGCTTCTTCCCAGAATGCTTTGGGCTGATGCTGGGGATCCCGATGCTGCTGTCTGGTGTGAGGACGCTGGAGACGGAGGTCACAAAGCCGCTGTCCGCTGAAAGGTGGAGGTTGAGACAGAGGCACGACTCAGCACAGGATTTTAAGGAAGTAGTTCACAGATTGTTTATTGCATTGGCGTCGCCTGAGCTCTGATTTAAATGCTAATGTCTGCATGCTAACGAGCGAATAATAAAAATAGCAACATTTTTTCAAACTGACTTACTGATAGGTAAAAGGTTTTCAAATGTCCCAATTCGTCAAAGCAGCTTAGATGACTTAACTATAAGTAAAATATGTTCTGGCGTATTTGGTAATAAAACTAAATGTTTTGTACAAACTGAAAGTCTAACCAGATATTGATGAATAGTGATATAATTGTACGTATGTGTTACCTGAGCAGGGCTGCTGTGGGGATGTGGGTGGTGTGAGCGGCACACAGCAGTGGTTCGGCTCCCTGTGGAGGCCCTGAGCTGCAGGAACAGGTGGAGGCTGCTCCACTGGGAGGTCCCCCTGGGCGATCAGAACCAAAGCAGCTGGGTAGGTCATCCGTACACCTCCTGAGAAGATGAAATAGAAGGGCATTATTCACTTTAGGATAAGGAGATGGAGCTCATTTTTTACAGCATGGGTTATTGTACTGTTAAAACTCTAGCTAGCACTATTTGCAGGAGTCAGATAAATCCAGAAAATAAGCTGTAAAGTATTAGGAATGCAATTGTTCCTTATCCATTAATGTAATCACACACTTTCTATCTCTCTCTCTGCTCATATAAAACAAATGATCTTTATTCTCGTCATACCCATTCCCTTACTATCATTGCAAACCGACTTTCCTTTGCAGAAGCTGCTATCCAAAGGAGTTTTGATTATAATCAGGTCAAACCAACGCTGTGGGATCAGGCTGATTAGACAAAGCTATTAGAATAACTCCCCGGGGCTTTTACCTCCACTTCCCTTTTCTTCTCTGTCTGTCTTTCCTGCTCTCTCCTTCCTTTTATACATTTCCCCTTTTTTTTTTTTTCAACTCTGCACTGAAAGATGATCACCGCAGTCAGAGTAAACATTTATAACACACACTCCAATAATCCCTTTGTGAATGCAGACATTCAAATCTAGACTAAAGATATTCTAAAAGTGAAATTATAGAATTCCTTCATGATTATTTTAAGAACCCTGAACATTTACAAATCAAAGAAAAAATCACATTTAGTAGATAATTGAGATTCACTAATGAGTTCAATAAAAAAAAAATTAAAAAAGAGCTTTATAGTTAAGGTTTAAGGAAAAATAAATCTGTAAAAATGTGTTTTTCTTTGAACTTACTTAAACTTAAATACGTTTCATTCCTTTTTTTTTTTTTAAAGCAATTTCCTGTGTGGTCATTTTGCAGCCCTTGAGTAAAAATAATACATCTTATATAACATGCATGCATATGAATGGTTTTCAGCGTGACTTGACCCTAAACAAATGTAGACTAAAATGTTTTCCATGAGGCATTTGATATTGTGAGACATATTCTTCCCATTCAATACTCTCTTAGAAATTAGAAAAAAAAACATGTTGACTTTTTCCTTACCTACTATGACCTCGACTGCCACGTGACGGTTGCTATCATAAGCACGGCTTCCTTCCTCTTTCTCCTTTTCTCTGCTCTCCTCTTTCTGCTGTAGTACCATCGGGTAAAAGTAGCTCCACTCCTCCATCAGCTTGCGCGTCGCTGGATCGCTCATCTTAAAGGCCTGACCTGTGAGAGTGCCGCTCAGGCCGTACGGACTCAGGATCACTGCAGAGGGAAACAAAGAGACATTGCAAAGCTGAAAGATACACATCGAAGAGGTTCCCTCAACTTTTTCACCAAAACCTGATAGAAAATGATATGATTGGCTGCAGTTCAGTTTAAACTGGTTTCAAGTTTGCAAATGCTTAAATAGATTATATAACCGCCATACAATCACAAACTGTATCAAGTTGCAGTGTTGGATTTGTCCTTTAATCAAACAAGGAACGTATGCATAGTTTACTGTAGATTCTTTATTTCATTATATTCTATAATTATCTTAACCACAATTATCACTTTCCAATTTCAGCTAAATTTCTCATTTGTCCCTTATTATGTGACATTTTTCAAATATGAACTAGGACAGTCAATTATCAGTAATAGAAATCCAATGATTAAATGTGTAATAGCCTAACACTCACAGGCGTCAGTTGTCTTCATTAAAAAGATTTGGCACACTTCATTTTGTGAAACTTCTTACAAACTTTAATATTGCAAGACCAATGTGTTAATAGAGCGGCAAAATAGAGTGGCAATTCCAATTTTTAACTTAAAGTAAATCCATGGCAAAATGAATGATCGCACATGTTGTTCAGAGTATGTTTTTCTTCATTGTCTATAAAACCAAACTACCTGCATGAGTTTGTGTTGTTACCTTGTACTGGAGTGACGGAGGTCTGTGCCAGCTCGATGTGGTGCTCTGTGACGTGGTGCGCAGGTTGGTGCTGGGCGATCTCCACACTGGTGCACACATTGCTCTCCCCGTGGAGGAAGAAGGAGAAGGAGCAGGAGAGGTGCTCACTGGGGACAGAAAACAGGTGAAGTTTTTTAGTGAATGAGATCACAGTAGAGCCGGTACAAGTATGTGCTGGTATATAGCTCCTCTTTGTGTACAGCAACAGATCTCTGTGTCCAATTTCATAACAAGGACATGTGCATTTACCTCTACAAATGTAATTAAACTGAGATTTAAATGGAACCAAATCTACATTTGATTATGTTAAACTTGAGATTAAATAAACCCATAAATCTAATTTATTGGAGAAAAATGTTCAGGCCTAGACGTGACAGATGATGAGTGCTTTCCTCCAACAGCAATTTAAAGAACACTCTCAAAGCCTGGCCTCGCTCACATTGATCATCTTCATCGTTCCCCCACACAGGCTCCTTATTGCAGGTATAAATCCTCATTTGCTTATGACTGATTGTGTTGGCCACATGTTTACATATGCAGCGCTCTCTTTATTACACAGCTGAGACACAGTCCATCATGCATTGCTCTTTTTTTTTTCTTTTCTTTTTTTTTTTTAATCACATAGGAGTGATTGTTGCGGCCTTTTTGCAATCCATACAGCAGTGGGCAGGCTGGACATCATTAACTACAAAGACAGCTTCACTGATGTATTCTCCTAATCTATAAATGTATCAGACTGACAATAAAGTCAGCAGGTACGGTAATCTCCATGTGATTACCCCGCTGCCCACGCAATAGCTCCTTCTTCCCTGAGGGAGCCGGACCTCCATTGGAGCTGAAATGAATCATCAAATTCAATAAGAGAAAAAAGAGGACAGCTCTATGGTCACTCATTGGCAGAACTGAAGACAGTCTTGAGGGGGTAAAATATCTCGCGGCAATGACCATAACCGCCCCCAGGTGGCGCCAAGTACAACCCAAGGAGAGAGTAGGCATTTTTGTCTGCTTCATAAACATTCTAGATATTCTCACAGTTAAATACACAACAAACAAACAAAATGCACACACGTCTGCACAATTACAGCAGGATATGCGAAGCTCAAATGCATCAAATGTGCATGTTAAGATCACACATTTATTTAAATATACTAAATGTTTTTAGTGATTATGCACTTTTTCCTATAATGCATGAGGTGGTGTTGTTTAAGCTACCTAACAGTCATTTAGCTGTGGAGTGGCTTTCCACCTAAAGGCCTTCTTTATCATTATTATTTTCATATTGTACACTGCATTGTATACAGTTTCAGGATTATTTGATGCATACTTTTGAGTTAAATTATTTAAGAGGTCATTTAGGGCTTGATTCTGCACGCCATATGACCTCTCCCTACTTGGGTTCTATATCAATTTGTTTTAAAATTCTTCCTTCTCTTCTTGGCTAACATTCATGGTATCTAAGCTAACCGGGCTATGTGTCTGTGAATGTATTTCCTGGTACATTCTCTATTATACCAGTGTTTACCTCCACAGGTTTGTTTTAGTATAAAACACAGTATCCAATATATTTTATTGTTAACACTGTTTTAGATGTACTAAAGTGAGATGAATATTTGTGTATTGTGTTGTTTGGTAATTCATCTCTTTGTCTACTCAAATTTGTGTGTAATAATTAATGTATCTAAATTAGAGAGCTCTTTATTTAATCATCTTTGTTTATTCTACAGAGGGCTTTCAGTGTGTAGTGTTACAGTTTTAAGAAGTGAATGACTCTATGACAGTCTTTCCTGATAGGTGTGGGAGCTTTTTTTTTTAAAGGAAGTGTGACTAGTGCTGTTCTGATCTTGTTGATGACAGATAACCACTTCAGCATGCTGGTTGCCATTGCACTAAATAACTAAATGAGAGGACTACTGTGAGTCACCAGGTTTTGTTATGTTGTGGCCTGAATTGTTCCTTTACGCCAAAGTTTCAGCTGCAAGCATTGAAACATTGCTTTTCCATGCGCACCCCTCACAAACATACACAGCACGAGCCTATATCATCTCTACGATCCACATCCCTACAACAAATGTTCAAATGTTTTCAATGAGACTGCCCGCCAACTTTGTCCTCAGTGCATCATTACAGCATATGAAGAGCTATTTATAGCCGCACATGGAAGCTCAAGAGAACAGCTGCAAGTCAAGAGCACCAGTTGAGCTAACTGCCATGCACAATATGCACAAATAATTTACACAGAGGACGTTTAACCAGGGTATTGAAAAGCATAAAGCTGCTCTAATTGTTCTCTGAGTTTGCACTGATTCCTCATAAAATAATCTACCTATATAATGACGGACTAACTGGCTGAATGATTTATACATTGCATGTGTTTCTCTGTGTTAAGCTCTCAGTTTGCAACCCTGCACGGATTAAATAAGTCTGTGAAATGAAGCATCCATTAGAGTTTATTTCCCTCCTGTGTTGATAATTCTCTTTATATTGTTATTGTATATTTTTATGAGATGTGTGTGCACTGATCGGGACTGATGTGTGCACAAAAAACATGACTCCCTTAACGCCGCTCGTAAAACTGTAGCTCGAGCCAATAGCAGGGCTATTGGAAATCATCTCTTCTTCATGCATCCTCTAACAACAGAATTTGTGGTTGGATTGATACTCAGGTGGGATCAATGTGAGCTGAAAAATATCATATTATTAGTTTGATTCATAAAAATAAATACCTACAAAAAAGCCCAAATAAGGCTACAGATGGAAATAGTCGACTTGTGTAGAGAGGGACCTTCAATTGGAAAGTCATGTACAAATGATTAATACTGAAAGCAAAAAGTCGAGCCGATGACTGATGTGTAACAATTATGATCTAAGCTCTATTACAGCTGCAATAAAGTGCAATTAAATGCAAGTCAGGCAAAAGCAGAAGTACAAAAAGAGCATCAAACTGCAGCCTGACGCAGCTGGAAGATTGATGCTCCCTGTCCTTTTACAAAGGGCATTTTTCTGCACAGTAAGCGGGTGTGAGTGTGTGGACACACTGGGCTTCTTGCATCCTCAGGGACATTTGTGCAGTCGGCAAAGCGTGTGTGTGTGTGTGTGTGTGTGTGTGTGTGTGTGTGTGTGTGTGTGTGTGTGTGTGTGTGTGTGTGTGTGTGTGTGTGTGTGTGTGTGTGTGAAAACAGTGGACAGGGTTGCGAGGCAGCTGTGTGTGCTGCCTGGGCTGCATGAGTACAGGTATTAATAAATGAAGAGGAGTGATGGCTGAGACTCGCCTCAGGGCTGACAGTACTGGAGAGAGATAGAGAGAGAGGAGACGGAGAGGAGGATAGAGAAGGGAGGGGGAGATGGGTGAGGGGGATTATAAAAGGAAGTAAAAAGAAGAAGAGGAGGACGAGCAGTGTGGAATTAAACAACAGCAACGGAAGATTGAGACAAAGTGAGCACCAGAGGTAGAAAAATGACGGCAATGCACGAGGAAAAAGGGAAAATAGAAAGACGGAGAGGAAATTAAGAGGACAAGGAAAGAAAAAAATGAGGCGTGAGAGCAAAAAAAAAAAAAAAAAAAGAAAGTGTGAGAGGAAGAGGAGGAGGTGAATAATTCAGAGCCACACACTGCAATCGCTGCACACATATCGATGAGATCAGAGTTTTAATGGGTGGCTACTGAGCACAATTTTATGGTGAAATCAATCAAGGCATGTAGAGGCGGAGAACACACAGAAAGACACATTACTGTACGTGTGTGTGTGTGTGTGTGTGTGTGTGTGTGTGTGTGTGTGTGTGTGTGTGTGTGTGTGTGTGTGTGTGTGTGTGTGTGTGTGTGTGTGTGTGTGTGTGTGTCTTTCATTTGGGCCCAGACTAATATGACAGCATTAAGAGTGTGCTATCATTTGTATGCAAATGTGCATGCAGGGAGACACAGACGCACGCTCAAAAAAAGAAAAAGAAAAACACAGTAATCATGACATGTGCATATGCATGTTTTAACACCATCGCATGAAAAGAACAGCTATGTTTGGCTTGTGTGACAACATGTGTCACTTAATCTCATCACAATACAAACAGCCAGACCGCAGGAGAGCTGGTTAGTATCTGACATGCATCATGGACTTCACCCACATGAACCATGTGTGCACAATCCAAAACACTGTTATCTCAGTGGTTGGGAGCCTCCGTGTCTAACACAGCAGGAAAAGGAGTAAAAGAAGATTAGATTAAAGAAGATAATGAACAATAAACAGTGAAAAGAAGAAAAAAAACAGAATTTGCACAATTCAAAAAGGTTGTGTTTCGACTGTTTAGCAGCATCTAATCCCAGTTTGAGATATCATTTACTGCATCGCTTTTTTTTTTTCTTAAATTCCAGCAAATTTGAGAGATTAATCTCCCTAATCTGTTCCTTTAATACTCTCTCTTCCAGCACAACTATGAGTTATCTTTCTCCTTCTAGCTGCCTCACCCCTCCTACACACTCTGAACACACACACACTCTCTGATGCTCTGGTGTACGAGGATGTTTACACTCTTGTAAGCTCTTGTGAGCAGCATGTATACACAAGTTCTTCCATCACACTTGCACAATAAGTTTTATTCTATACAAGCAAATCCCACAGATCCATCAAACATGCACAATACTCCACAGGCTTATGCAGGTGTGTGTGTGTGTGTGTGTGTGTGTGTGTGTGTGTGCGCACACATGACGCACCAGTATTAACACAAGTGTAAGAGGGATGCAGTCAGCTTGATGTATTATTCAGGAGCCCCAAGTGGGTGGCTTTAGCCAGTGTTGCTATCACACTGCGTGCGTTCAAACTGTTTATTTGGATTCCGAATAAAATGATGCAACTACAAAGCACATATTTGAGTCTTTATGAGCACAGGCAGTGCAGGAAGTGTCAGCGTGTGCAAATGAAATTAGATTCTTGTCAGCCTTGAAAGACAGCTATATTATCGTCAGAATTACTTTTTTCAGCGGGCGATTCCCACACAGAAACTGCTGCCAAATGAAGAGTCTAAGTTTCAAACCTCAAAAAACACAAAACATTGGAGCTATACCACCGACTTCACATCTGTCGTCCTGATTAACAAAAGGGATAGAATCTGTTGGTTG